AAGCTAATTAGCACTGAACTGATTAGACCTAGTTATATAGCCTAGTATAATAGCTAGCCTGATGTTAGCTAGCTTAGCAGTGCCCCTGTTACTAATTAGCCTAAGAGTGTAATTATATTATAGCTATTTTTAATTTTTTTTACTTAACGATATTCAGGAAAACTCTCATCATTCAATCAGCTGCCTCGTGCTTCACAGAAACATGTACAGTTTGAGTTGTAGTCGTTGTCAGGGACAGGACCGTATCCCGTCTCACGTTTATGCCGGTGTCCTGTGTTTCTCTTGTGTGTGTTTGAGCAGCATTTTGTTTTTTAATATGTTACAATCCTGTATTATAAGGATTCCAGAGGCGGGGCATTTATGGCGCTAGAAAGCATTTCATTGGACGATCATGATTGAAGTCAAATCAGTGCATCTGTAATTATCAAACCAAAACAAAACAGAGTGTCAGTTTAAAGTGAGAGGTTTATTGTTCAGTTTTTAAGCAGAAGTCACAAAGGGACAAATCCAGAGTCGATAACTTAAGATGAAAAAGATACGTCAGTATTTACGTGAGGAAATTTCTCCGTATTCAGACTCGGAGCTACTGAACGTGATGTTTCTGAGTGGAACATTTAGTGGAACAGCGTTTATTTGATTGAAATTACCTGAAAACCCTGAGCACCTCTATGCTGTGTGGCGTGAACAGAGAGTGTGAGGACAGCTGACCTGAGTGTACGGAGTGGTATCGGCGCATGCGCTCATCAGGAGAAAGCAAGCGTGAGGTGACGTGAACCCGCGCACACACACGAGGGGACTCGCGAGCGGGGAGCAGTGACGCGAGTGTGCAGAGAGACTGTCGCGTGTGAGAGCACTTCAGCTCTGCGAGCACAGAGCACCGAGACCTGCACGCTTCCTTTCCCCTCTCACACCAGAGTGTACACTTCAGTCCCGGGTCAAGTTCATTTTTAAAACGTTTGGGGCAGGGCTAAGACGCATGGTCCCATTCCTGCAAGCGGTCTCTATCAACCAGTCCTCTTTCTTCTGGAAGCTGTAGCTAACATTAAAATGCCATCTTGGAATTTAACTTAAAATAAGATCAAAGGTCAGAAGAAAGGAGATTGGTTGAGAGTGAGCAATCAGAGATTAACTTGACTCATGAGCAAAGTGTAGACCCTGACGTGTGAAGGGAGAAGGAGTGCACGTGTCTCACCTTACGGTCACACTAACAAGCGACAGGTGCCCATGCTCAACACAGAACTACGATTTAAACAACAAACAAAAAGGTGACAGAAGACACTGAGCTACGATTTACTCGACAAACAAAAAAGCGGCAGACGACACTGAGCTACGATTTACTCGACAAACAAAAAGGCAGCAGTTGAGACGGAGCAGCGATTTAAACGACAAACCACAAAGGTGACAGATGACACAGAGCTATGATTTTTATAACAAACAAAAAGACAACAAACGACATGGAGCTACGATTTAAACGACAAACAAAAAGGCGGCACATGACACAGAGCTACAATTTAAAATACAAACAAAAAAAGGGACAGACGACACAGAGCTACGATTCAAACAACAAACAAAAAGGTGACAGACGACATGGAGCTACGATTCAAATGACAAACAAAAAAGGCGACAGTAGACACGGAGCTACAATTTAAACAACAAACAAAAACGACACGGAGCTACGATTTAAACGACAAACAGAAAAAGCAACAGTTGACACGGAGCAACGATTTAAACGACAAACCAAAAAAGCAACAGTTGACACGGAGCTACAATTTAAACAACAAACAAAACTGACACGGAGCTACGATTTTTAGCAACCCTGACCAGGATAAAGCAGTTACTGAAGATGAATGAAGGAATTCGCGCCCCGACGAGACAAACTACCAGCGTCACGTGTGACTTGTCTCTTGTTAGTGTTAGCGTAGGGTCTGTGCTCAGTGCTCTTTGAACTGAAGTTCTCTCACATGTGACAGTTTCTCTGCACGCTCGCTTCACCGCTCGACGCCTGCGAGTACCTTCCTGCACGTACGCAAATTCACGTCACCTCACGTTGTCTCTTAATGAGCTCGTTCACTGATGCGGCTCTGCACGCTCAGGTCGGCCGTCCTCACGCGCTCTGTTAACGGCCATTTAAACACCACAGAGGTGTGAACTATACGCAGGTCATTTCAGTAAATGTTCTGCTCAGAGTTAAACACCACTGAGACTTAATCTACTGGATCTACAGGATCTACCGAATCTACTGGATCTACTGAATCTGCTGAATCTACTGGATCTCCTGAATCTGCTGAATCTACGTGCGTATCTTCTGAACTGAAGCATCGACTCTGAACTCGACGCAAAGTGTAAATCTTTTGGTGTTTCACAGTTTCTTCAACTTCTCTCTCATCCTCTCCATCCTGATGTGGCTCTACAACCTCGAGACCTTTGTCTCTATTCTCTTTCTCCATGTCCTCCTTCTCTTTCTTAGATTCAAGCACCATCCTCTCTTTTTCATCCTGAGACCTTCTCTTCATTTCATCTCTTTCCTGCACCAGAGCCTCCATCTCTTTTTTCATCTGAGCTTCTCTGGTGTCGCACTCTCTCTGTTGGACCTCCATGGTTCTTTTTAGGTCCTCCATCTCTTCTGTCCTTTTCTCCAGCATTTTGTCCTTCTCCAGAATCTTCTGCTCCAATTTGTCAGAATGTTCTCTCCAGCTGGATTCAAGTAACTGCTGCTTTCTCTCCATTATGTAGCATCGCTTTCTCTCCTTCTGCTTATTCTCCCTCTGTTTCTCAAGCTTGAACACCAACCTCTCCTTTTCAGCCTCAGATGTTTCTCTCAGTTCATTAATTTTCTCCACCATGTACGCTTCCATGGCCTTTCTCAATCTCTGCTGGAACTCGAATCTCTCTTGCTTTTTCTCCTTCTCCATGTTCGTCCTCTCTTTCTCAAACTCGAGCTCCATTCTCTCTTTTTCAGCCTGAAACCTTCTCTTCATTTCATCCCTTTCCTTCACCAGAGCCTTCATCTCTTCTCTCATCTGAGCTTCTCTGGCCTTGCTTTCTTTCTGCTGGAGCTCTAATCTCTCTATCTCTTTCTCCATCTGCTCTCCCTCCTTGATGATGTCTGTTGTCCAGAACCACTGTGTAGGAAAGATCTTCAGCTTCTTATGAGCTTTCTTGAGCTCCTCCATCATACCGGGCTCCTTCTTCCCTACTTCCTTTTTAAGTTCTTCTGCGGTTCTTTTCTGTTTCTCCATCTCTTCTGTCATGGCCTCCAGCACGTCAGTCTTCGTCAGCATCTTCTGCGCCCAGCTGTCGGCGTGCTCTCTCCAGGTGGCTTCAATCTCCAGCTTCTTTCTCTCAATTTCTTCACATTGCTTTCTTGCATTCTCCAGATCCATCAGGATCTTCTCTCTTTCCTGCCTCCACTGCTCACGCTCCAAATCCATGGCATCCTCCAGCTGCGTGATCTTTTGGTCACTCTCCATCTTGATTACGGCTCTCTCTTTCTCCAGCTCCCTCTTCAACTTGTCCGATTCCTCACGAAGGAGCGCCTCGTAAACTTTAGTCTCAGCACATCTGAGCTCCTCCAACTTTCCAATCTCCTTTATCCAGAAGTTCCTCTCCTTCCTCCAGTTGTTGTTCTCCTTTTCCAGCTTCTCCCTCAGCTCCCTTTCTCTCCTCAGTTCCTCCTCTGTCTCCTTCAGCAGGACTTCAACAGACTTTTTCTTCTTCTGTGTGTAAAAGATAAGAATAAGAATCAGATTTGCTCCTGAGCGCGGCGTTCGTTAGCGTCCTGCTAGACATGAACATTATCCAATTGACAGGTCGACACTGGAGAGTTCACTGTGGAGGAAAGATTTTTTTTTCTCTCCAAAAGCATGTGGAGCATCTCTCATCTCTCACTTTATGCTCGAAGCATCACTGCTTACTCACCTCGCCCTTCTTCCGTTGACGAAAAACACGCTGATGCAGCGTCCACATCTCACGAAGTATACTCGACATCATTCTCTTTTAGTTTTCCTTCTGAACAAAACCAATATGACATCATCACTCATCGTGTGTTCATATATCAGTATTATTAATAATATAATAATTATTATTTAATTAACAACAGCTATTATTATTATTATTATTATTATTATTATTCATTCAGATAGCTTCCATAGCTTGACGTGTCTCTCTTAAGTCGTTTCAAAGAATATATATTAATATATTATACATTATATATTAATATATTATATAATATATATTATATATTTATTTATTTCCTTATTTGGATTTATTTATTAACATTATATCCAGGCTGTAGCATATAAACGCTGCGCTAGCAGGAATGATTAAATATATGCACCGAAATTCAAACCATATCGTACTATAGATATATTATTTTATTGTAGCATTATAGTTATATTTACTAATGATAATAATAATAATAATAATATTTATATACACAGCATTTTCAGGCATGAATTGCAGGTCAAAATGCCTTACAAGGAAATTAAACAGAGAGAATAATAACAATCAAACAGGGACCTAAAGTGAACAGCATTAATATTAATATTAATATTAATAATAATAATAATATGAAAAATTATAAATCATTAAGAAACATGAGAAAAACTGAAAAATTAATACAAACTAGTTGGTTAAAAATACAGTACTGTGCAAAAGTCTTGGCACCCTATTTTTTTTTAGTACAAACTTTGTTATAGATGTTTATTTTCTGACTTCTACATTATTGATTCAGATTCACTTTTCAGATAAAAACAGAATGAAGGCTGCTGGGTTTCGCTGCAGAAATAAGAAGCAAGTGTGACAGTCAAAGTCTCCAGAAGAACTGTGGCTGCTTCTGCAAGATGCTCAGTAACACTTACAGCTCATTTCCTTATAAAACTGCACACACTGCACCTGAGACTACTATTTTTTTTTTTTTTAAAGCAAAGGATCGTCACACCAAATATTGACTTTGCTTCATTTATCACTGTTTACTGCTTTTTATAGTATTTTTTAAAGGCATCTTTATGGGTCCCTGGTTAGGCCACAGTGTTCTCACCGCTGCGGCCTGGGTTCAATTCCCGGCCGGGGAACCGACCCCCAGCCACCAGGGTTGCACAAGACAGTGCGCTCTCAGTGCCGGTCCCAAGCCCGGATAAAATTGGGGAGATTTGTGTCAGGAAGGGCATCCGGCGTAAAAACTGATCATGAGGATCATAAAATCAAACATGAGGACCAATGATCCGCTGTAGCGACCCCTAACGGGAGCAGCCGAAAGAGGAACAATTTTTGAAGGCATCTTTGCTCTACAGCATTTCTTTGCATGTGCTTAAGACTTTTGCACAGAACTGTATAGATAGATAGATAGATAGATAGAGTGAGAGAGAGAGAGAGAGAGAGAGAGAGAGAGAGGCCTCATCATTTCCTCTTGTTTCTTTTTTAACCCAAAAGTGAAAAGTATGAAATGAAATCTAAATCAGTTCTTGACAGCCCTGATTTGTCTCTCTGTCTCACCTCGATGTCCTTTTAGCCGCTCTGTCCTTTCTGCAAACTCGAACACTTGTACGTGATTAATCTTTAGCTTTGCCTGAACACAGTGTGTGCGCGCGCGTGTGTGTGTGTGTGTGTGTGTGTGTGTGTGTGAAATTCTGAGTGACAGAATCTGAACACCTGCTGTGACATCACGCATCTTCATTCTGCAATGATGTGACTCTGTGACCTCATCGCCCTCAGACCCATGTATTCCTGATAATATAGAATATCACTGTTCCACTGCTGCAAAAAAGAAGAAAATAATAAAACATCACAGCTGCATAATTTAACCTTTCTTTACTTTCCACCCTAAATGTTCTGTTGTGTTGATGATATTTAGCACTGAGACTGGATAAGCAATTTAATAATACATTAAAAAAAATACAAAGGAACTCAATCTCTCTCTCTCTCTCTCGCTCTCTCTCTCTCTCTCTCTTGCTCTTGCTCTGAAACGTTCCACTCATTTCATTCATTTTCTCCACCATATACTCTTCCATGGCCTTTCTCAATCTCCCCTGGAACTTGAATCTCTCGCTTTTTCTCCTTCTCCATGTTCTTCCTCTCTCTCTTTCTCAAACTCAAGCTCCATCCTCTGCTTTTCAGCCTGAAACCTTCTCTTCAGTTCATCTCTCTCTCTCTCTCTCTCTCTCTCTCTCTAAAAACACAGTCTAAACTCCTCTGTCCTGAACACTTTAAAGCACCGTGACTGTTGTAAAGCACTTTAAAACCAACACAACTTCTGTAAATGTTAAAAAAAACATCACATCAATGATTATAGTTTTCTTTGTTAAACAACACATTTAGATTACGCAGAGCGTCGCTCTCCAAGTCCCTGTGAAAGAGCTGTTACTATGGAAACAATAAATTATTAGAACGGGCGCAGTAATATAAATCTGGCGTTCATGTAACAGCTGGAACTACTTTCCGAGACGTGCTGTTATGCAAAAAATATGCACATCTTCTGACCAATCAGATTTAAGAATTCATCCAGGCTGTGGCCTAAAGCGTGTTAAGACAAGAATCAATACAGTAATCAGTGTTATTTACTCATCTGCCTCCATTTCTCACGCTCCACCTTCAACACCTCACTCTCCATACTCCTGAACTTCTCCAGCCTTTCCACGTCCTGTTCCAAGCAGTTCTTCTCCTTTCCCAGCTTCTCCTTCATCTCTCTCTCTTTCTCTCTTGCTCCTCAGTTCCTCCTCTTGATCCTTCAGCAGGTCTTTATCCGACTTTCTCTGCTCTTGCGTGTAAAAGATAAGAATAACAATCAGATTCGTTCCAGTGTTCATTAGCATCCCACTGGACTTAAACTTTATATTTTCTTTCTCTTCAGAAGCATGTGAAGTGTCGTTCTTTTCTCACTTTATGTCTGAAAACGTCTTTAATGACTGAACTTTCATCCTCCATCTGTGTGAAGAAAAACACGCTGCAGCTGCGTCATCATCTGTCGAAGTGCACCTGATCTCTTCAAAACATCTCTTATCTTCCTTTTGAGCAAAACCAAGTTTTAAATCAAATCCTAGTTTTTTTCCCTTTCCATATAAATCTGGAGATAATTTTATCCCATGCTGTGAATTGCTTTGAGGGAATTTTTACTGGAAGAGTTTGAAACTGGTAAAGTAGACATGAGAAAGTGTTAAATTTTACCGTTTCATTTCTGTGGCTAAGACTTAGTAACGAGATGTTCGGGTCGTCCATCAGTTAGAGCGTCTGAGGCTCTCATTAGCGAGATATCTCAAGCACGAGTGGTTGAACGTTTGTAGGATTTCTATAGGATCATTATCGTAACCATCAGAACTGATCAGAAACAGGAGCAAGGTCACAACAAGGTCAAATGTCCGAAATTATTTTTCTTCAGTTGCTTCTTTCCTGTTTAAAGTAAATCAGATTTTAACGTTTTTTTCTGGCATTTGTAAATTGTGAGACATAATATTTTAGTTTTGATTTGATTGTTTTATTTCTTGGTTTTTGGGAGTAGACAAGGGTCTTTTTTTTATTTTCTTGTGTTTCAATTCAAATCCTTTTATTTGTTCAACTCCACTAATTTTAATTGCTTACATTTAAGAAAAAAAAAAAAAAAAAGTAAAGTATGATGTACTGTGTCCCAAACAGTCTCTGGTCCAACCTCTCCCTTATCATTATTTTTTAGATATCATTTTATTTCTTATATCAGCAATTTCCTAAATTGTAAATTATTTAAAATAATGGATTTATCCTCCACAGTGTATGTCCAGGCTTGTTATAAATCTGTACACCTAATAATATGGGTGCATGGTCAAAAAAATAAATTCTATGTATTATCACAATAGTTCTACAGCGATTTTTTTAACTTTTAAAAAAATGTATCAGTTCTTGAATAGACGTGGTGTGGAGACGGAGTAATAAATGTAATCACTGCTCTGCTAATCACACTTTCATTTTCAACAAATCTACAAATGACACTCGGACTGACTTTGGGTGACTGGCGTTGACTTTGGGATGCTGGCGGTGTTTCTCCTTCATCTCCTCCAACCTCTTCTCCTCCCTCCTCCCTCTTCACACACACCATGATTTCACTGACAGCACAACAGTTGTTGGCTAAACTGGAAATGTTTAATAAGTGGTGCAACATGAGTGCGAGTCCTGACGCTGCCACAACCATGTGAGTCCAAGAGAGCAAAATGAGTCGTGCTCTCTGTTCAACCCCACTGAACACCTTTGGGATGAACTGGAACACCGACTGCACCCCAGACCTCCTCGACATCCCAACATCAGCGCCTGACCTCACTAATGCTCTTGTAGCTGAATGAACACAAATCCCCACAGCCACGCTCCAACATCTAGTGGAAAGCTTCCCAGAAGAGTGGAGCTTATTATAACAGCAAAGAGGAATAAATCTGGGATGAGATGTTCTACAAGCACATATGGGTGTGACGGTCAGGGGTGCACATACTTTTGGCAGTGTAGTGTAGTTACACAAAGCCATGGACCCACAGGAGTTGAACCCTGAGACCTTCTACAAACTCTACGGTAAATGATCATTGCGGTAAGTTAAGGTGCACAAACTTTTGCACTCGACTGTATACATCATTAACACACGCCCACAATGAAAGAAAAGCTGTGCTTTACACAATTAAACACAGCTAACTAAACATTAGCTTTCTGACTAAGCTTTTGCTGGCGTGACTCTCAAAGGGGGCGTGTCTTAAGTACTTTTTTTTTCTGGTGCTAGCTGTCCTGTCAGAGACACGCAGCTCTCTCAGCTAGTTAAACAAGCTAGTTAGCAAGCGGACGCTAATTTGGCCCTGCTTGAATGCTGGATTAATTAGCATCGCTGCAAGCTAGCCATGATAATGAGCATGCTAATCATTACATTAAAGAGCTAGCTCTATTATTATTATTATTGTTATTATTATTATTATTATTATTATTATCATGTGAAAATAAATCTTGGCACATGCAGACTTGAGAAAAACCCTTCTATATAAAACTTTGGGGGATTTTGGGAGTGGTTGAGTTCAGGTAGTGATGTCACACCTTTCAACCAATCGGGTTTGAGATTTTCTGACGTCAGCTGAAGAACGAGGAGGATCCATGATGGAGATGGAGGAGGAGAGACTGCGGATGAAGGAACAAGTCATGAAAAATGTCAGACATGTCTCTCTCTCCTTTTTATCCCTCTTTCCCTTTGCCTTCTGCATCAGTGCACAGAGAGCTCGGTCGCAGGAGTGGACGATATGATCAAAATATCATATCACGATACTTCACAATATATATCGCAGTAATAAGGTTTTACTAACAAAATGCCAAGCAAGTGCACTAAAGATTCAGCAGCCTGAAGGAGAGGGAGGTACGAGGTACGAGAAAGTCGCTGAGATATTTCTTTAACAGAAACACTGAAAATAAACAAAACCAGACTCGTTAAACACATCACGCAGATTTAACATAAACATCTATCATGTGGGCGGAGTTTAGCGTTAATAACGTGTACATTTTGGCAAAATGTCAGTCGTCTCTGCAATCAATCACTTTATTCCTCGGTGCAGTTTGGTAGGCCACGCCTCCTAAATGAGATTATTGGAGTTTAACGATGTTATTTACGATTTTTTTACGTTGTTTATGGATTTTGCGTAATTCAGACCTGTTACTGTTTTAGCTAGTTAGAAATTATCGACCTGTTGCATATATTGATTTATTTATTTTTTTAAATTTTCTATCATGCTTAGTTATTTACTTCATAAACACACATGCATGTATGCACATACCTGCCACACACACACACACACACACACACACATGCTGTGAGCAGGCAGGACAGGATGTTCGGACTCGTTTGTGTGGGTTGTGTTTATTTTATTGGTAATAAATCTGTGCACAGATGCTACACTCCGGTGTCAGTGGTGTGATTTTTAACGAGCGGGTGCTGAAGGCTGATGACCTTTGACCCCGAAGCCTAAATTGGTGAGATGTTTGTAATGTTTCTGTGACAGGTGTAGACACATTCCCATCTTTAGTTGTGTTTATTTTATTTGTTATCCTTCATTTCTTTACTTTAAGTCACATTTTTACCTTTACTCCA